AGACAGACAGACAGACAGACAGACAGACAGACAGACAGACAGACAGAGAGTCTCGCCCCGAAGGCCCAGGGATTTTCTTGGAAGGCTAGGGTTTGGCTTGATGAAGGGCCGACATACATTTTCCGTCGTTTTCCTATGTTCAATTTGGGATAGAAGCAGCTTCTAGGCTAGGCTGAAGGCTTTCTATTTGCGAAGGAAGTGAGACTGTCGCTGCGAGGAGGTGTGAGTGAGTTGGTTTGATGCCCTCCGACTGACGAACATGGGAGTGGATGTCCTAGCCTTCAAAGACTCAAAGACCATTATTGTAAATGAATGGTTGACCTGTTTTTGTAGTCTAAAATCCTTACTGTATATAATATTATACAAAAAACACAAGTTCTTTTGTACAAACTCTTGAAACCAGGCTTGTTGGACTCCCAGAGGATGGCATGGACCTTTGCCTTGTATACCTTTGGATAAATTGGTTACCTTGGAAGACGATTTCCATTTACGAACAGGGTGGTGTTTCACCACCACGGACCCCATGGTCCATGCGAGTGCTTCCCACGACCATTCACCGAACGTCCGAATGACCATCCCCAGGCATCGGCTGGAAGCAGAGCTGGAAGTCTTTCTGACGTTGGACCATCCACACATTGCTCGGCTCCACTATGCTCTATGGCTGAGTGGAGGGGATGAGGATGGATGAGGCATCTCAGACCATCAAACTCGAATAGTGACCTGTCCTATTACCTGGGCCATTTTCATGGGTAAAGGTAACTTGGGTCTGTCCGAACTTACCAGTGACAGAGTGTAAACAAGCAAATCACATTTTTTTTGAACAAGGCCTAACCATCATCATCCACTGCTACTGGTAATCGGATGGACCCAATATATTAACTTATAACTTATACTTACTCCATAGATGGATGGTCTGGGCGTCCCAGACTCCACGAGAGGTCGGGGACGGCCGTGTCTCGTGGCTCTCGGACTCCATTCACCGCCCCAAAACGGGTCATCGCCCGGTCATCACCCTGGCCGAGCGAGCGAGATCGGGTTCATGGGGAAGAAATGGTTGGAAACCAAGAGGATTGAGAGGTGACCTTCTAGGAGATTTGAATGGCCGTAGCCCGTTCCAACGATGCCAACCACGGCAGGGGACGGACGAAGCTCCCTCTTCGCAGGGGGATCCGCTCCGCAAGAAAAACCCTTTCCATTGGAGAAGGGCCCAGATTCTTGCCGGGCACCATGGAAGTATGGGAAGGTCCTGGACACTGCTTCGTGAGACCCAGAAACATCTGTCCAAATCGGTCCCTTCCAGGGTCTTCTGTGGTCTCGTGATCGATCTTGTCCATGTGGTTTTCACCCAAGCGGCCACCAATTCACCAGAGCAATTCCTTTTGGACTCCAGGTGTTTTCGGCTGAATTCCAAGGGGGATCATTTGGGTGTGTCTTGACATTCAACGAAAGAAGGACCAAAAGCGGTGCGGCCGTCCCAAACGTCTGTCTGCGCCACGTCTGTCAACGGCAGCCCCCGGTTCATCAGGTTCTTCACGTCCTCCCAAAACGTTTGAAACAGCCCAAGGAAGTTCTGGGAAAAACCAAGACGAAACGTGAGAGATGAACAGAGGACAGGAAGATGTACACATGATGCATGTCCACTAACAATCACCATGATTGGATGCAGGGTCTAAGACGACAACAATGACTCATGGGATGAGTTGAAGTTGAGGACAATGTCATGAAACTGATGATGATGATGATGATGATGATGATGATGATGATGATGTTGTTGTTGTTGTTGTTGTGGTGGTGAAAGCCGATGAAAATGCTACCCGACCCCACCCAACCTTAATCTCAGACCCTACCCAACCTTATATATCTCATGGTCCGATGACAATGTTTTGAAACCGATGACAACGCTATGTTTTGAAAACTGATGACAATGTTAGGAAAACCGATGACCAGTGTATTAAACACATGCAAGGAATTCCCAGGGCCGCGCATGCAGCGCCCGGCCAACTAAGACACCCATGCTTGGGGGTACCCGGATCATTTTCATTTCTACAAGACTTCCAACATTTTAAACATTGGACCTACTTACTGCTTCGCATTCTTCGCACGGCCTTTCCACCACACCCCGATTTTGATCCTCTTTGGTTTCCCTTCTTTTCGGGCCAACACCGGCCGTCTCCACTCAAACTCGCCAGACCCGTCGGTGAGGTCTATGAGAGCGAAAAGGTCCTGAGCTTGGTCATGGAATGCATGGAAGGCTGGGCCACAACACTCCCCGCTTCTTCTGCGCAGCTTATCACGCGTCCCACAGGGGGTTAGGCTTTTTTGGGGGCGGCGCTGCACCTCTCGGTTTTGCTGGGCGGTTCCTGGGTTTCGGGGCTAATGCAAGTGGAGCAGGTGTGTCTTCGCCCCGATTGGAGCGGACCCCGAAGAGGGAGAAGGTTCGACCCCTGCCATGAAGAGTCCAAGGATTCTTAAGGATGAATGAATTCCACTAGCCTAACACTGATTTGGCAAGACTGCAGCTGCCGAGTACTTCTTGGACTTCTTGAATGATGTGGAAGAGCGTCACAACAGCACCTTCCCGGATAAAAAAAACCCTCAAAATCTTCGTCATCAATGTGGGTGATCCACCTCTTGTGGTGTCTTTTTCATCCATCTTTTTCACCAGCGGACTGAACCACCACGAACTCGCAACCCCACTCCCTCGGGTATCTTCCACCAGGTGGTGAGCTGTACGATCGCGTGACGCTCGCGGGGCAGACGGGACGTCAAGCGGCGCTGGCCACGTGGCACATGCTGCAGGTGCCGCGGCGGAAGGGCCGTGGGTGCTGGGGGCCGTGGCACGGCGGGGGTCGGGTGGAGGGAAGGGTGGTGAAAGAGCAGGGCTCCAGGGGAAAATCATGTGGAAACTCCCGTTGTTGGTAGGGAGTTATATGGAAGAAAGTGCTCTGTTGCCTGGTGAACTCTTGCTGACCAGATGTCTTCTGGCAGGGGTTCTGACGCACAAAGAGGAAAGAACTGGCCTGTGTTGCCTGAGTTTCTTTGACGCTATTGTCTAATCACGTGTCTAGATTCTTCCCATATTTTGCTTTCTAAAGTAGCCATTCCTTCACCGGATGCCGCGACACCGAGACATCCAGTGAGGCGATTTCATATATCCATTTCTCTGGGGTGGTGCATCGTGACTTGAAGTGCCTGGGCCGCACCGGGACCTCGGTGTGCGATTCTCACGTCTGGCTGTGGAGGAATTCCCTCGGTAGGTTCACCGACCGTGGTTCTTTCGTGCCCATGGCCCACATCGGTTCAGTCTTGTTGTCTCCAAGCTCGGCGCGCTCTGCAGATGCTTCAGATGCTTTTCCTCAGAGATCAGCTGAGCAGATGGAGGAAGCACCTTCAAGACTAAGAATAGTTAAAGCAACCATGTAACGTAGGTAGCTCCATCGATTCGTATTTGGGTATCATAATGTCCTTTGTTTCTTTTTGTTTGCTTTTTAGACGTATTCAGTCCAAGGGAAACAACAAAAACCATTCTCCCCGTTCCATGACTGGCCATCCATGCCATCCGCTTCGTCGAGACCCCATGGCTTTTGGGTGCTTCAAACCGCTCGGCACCGGCACCGGCACCGCGGTGCTTCACCGCTCCGGCGGGGCCGGGTGCTTCGTCGCTGCATGGGTTGAGGTCAGGCGGTGAACGCCAAAAAGGTAGGGTCACTGGCGTTTGAAGCCTCGTTCGAACGCCAAAAAGGAACTCCAGAGGTTGGCCACTGGTGGCTTTCGTTGGGCTCCCGTTTGTAACTCCCTTGGTTCGCCCTTGGTGGATCAATAGAGGGGATACCCACGGTGGTGTACAACAAAGTTCGGTGAATGGTACCTGGCACCGACCCCTCGATTCTTCCCGTTCGTACGGACATCACTGGGAGACATCACTGGGAGACATGCCTTCGACCCCAGGCTCGAGAACTTTTTGTACGATTTTCGGGACAGTGACTTTCTGAAGCTGATCGACTTTGGCTTTAGCAAGTTCTTCTGCATGAAGTGACTTGACATCAAAACTGTTTTCTCAGTCGAAACTTCGAAACGCCATTCTGAACTTGGCCATCAACTCGCTCGATCTACTTGGACTCCAAAACCTGCGACGAACCCCAGAAACCTGCGAGCCTGCTTCCCTCGCTTCAGGAAGCACATGAAGGAAGCGCTCGGCACGGTGAACTACGTGGCACCTGAGGTGGGGAAGATGAGCATCAAAGCTGGACGACTATAGCTGAGATCGTGTGTGACATGTGGCTAAAGAGATCAAAGTGGTGGTTTGTGAGGAAGAACATGGAAGAACCTTCGTGAGAAACACCGCGTTTTCGACGAGTTGTGGCTTCCATTCATCTTTCGCAGTGTCCAAGAAAATCCTGTTCCGAACGTGGGGTGAAATGCATTGAAACACCCCGACGTTCTAGCAACGACTTAACTCGGTTGTTTGAAACTCAGACAATTGTTGTCTTCACCGGAAGCTGGAGAGGTCTTGAAGAAGAGATATTCCGGTGGCTCCTGCGATATGTGGAGTTTAGGAGTGATCGTCTTCGTCTTGCTGTCTCTCGGCCGCAGCTCGACGGACTCGGCGAGACTCGTCTCGCGGTACGGCCGCCTCAAGCCGCGCTGCCGGTGGGCTGAGGTGGCCGGTAGGGTGGGGTGCGAAAGCAGGTTTTGAGCGGTTTGGAAGCCTCGAGTTGGGAAGCAAGAGATGTGGATCTCATTGTTGTTTGTCCCTGGACCGGTGAATTCACACCCCGAAAGACCTCTTTTCGGGACTATTAATGGACACCCGGAATCCGTGGTGCTGGTCGATTTCCCTTTTCGTTTTGGAGCACTTCCCAAACTTTTGGCTCATCACTAGCAGAACATCAAGACACCCTGACTCCTGAACCAACTCCTGGAGCAACTCGGACGAGAAGCTCATGCATCTCATGCCACCGGCGAACGCGCGAGCGTTCTTCAATGTTGCTTCGGACTTGCAACATTGAGGACCGGTGATATGCCATTTCTAGGCAGGACAGATGTGGAAGTGGCCACAGCGATCATGAAACCTGGCCATGTTGGGAGACTGGAGAGTCGGCAGTCGGCAGAGTCGGCAGTCGGCAGTGATTGTTGACTAGTCGCAGGGATCCGGAAGGGAGATATTTTATGTCAACCTCGAAACGGGTTATCGAGGGTTTCTAATGAAACATGACCCGAAGCGACTCAATATCCTGGGAGTCTAAGACCATTTAAACAAACTGACCCGATGACCCGAAAAGGAACTTCCTGTACGACTTGGTGGGGCCAGTCATCATTGGACTTGTTGGACGGGCATAAATAAATATATACACACGCTAGCCTTCAAAGACCGTGAAAAGAATGGTTGACCTGTTTTTGCAGTCTAAAACCCTTAGTCAAAAAATAGTTCTTTTGTAAAGACCATTAAAGCAATAGTTGTTGGACTCCCAGGGAATTGTTATTCTTGAGAAATCACATACCACGGCCGAAAGGCTGGTGGGTGCAACACATGTTTTGGGATCGAATCGAGTGCCGTTTTCCTTTGGGGACTGACTCCAGGTCCCTGGGGGGCCGTTTCCAAAAACTGAGCCGACGAGCCTGGGGAGAAGTCGGTCTGAGTTCGAGCTTGGGACAGTAAGGAGTCCGGATGAGTTGGAGGGGTCAGAGGTGTATGAATCTGGTGCAGGATTCTTGCGTAGGACTCGTTGGTCGACTCTTCATGGTGGAGTCGACTCTTCCAGGGCTCCCACATCGAGTTCTTCTCACCCACGGCGTGTTGTTTCGCACGTTTCGCACCCTGCCTGCCGGTCGGTTTCGCCCCTGCACGGCCGAATGGGTGCGGTGAGGAAGGGCAACTACGCTTGGAAAAGCCTGCGCTTCAAGGTCGCCAAGGTGAGATTGGGCCCCTCTTCATTGGGGGGGCTGCCCAGGATTTGCTTGGCCAGATGTGATCACAAGGGGTGACATGGTTCCGTGGGATATTTACTTCACAACTGTATACTTATAGCCTATATAGCCCATTATAGCACTGTTTCTTTAATCCAATCTGCTTCTTTAACCTCCACGCGTTGGCGGGTGGATTGGGTGTTGAAGCACATGGAGGGCACGTTGGCTTGCTCGGCTTGGATGTTCTCGGCTACCAACCTGATGGGGGGGTGTAGACTCTCAAACTAAAACTCACTCTACACCTATGGGGGCGAGGGTCAATGGCTGCCCCAGAACGCGCGACGCACTTGGTATGCGAAGGTACACTCTGACGAACACATCACATGGAAGTGGATGGCATGATCCCTTGGAAGACTACCTTCCTCTACCAACAAGGGGTGCCATTCACTTCTATATGATGTGTTCGTCAGAGTGTAACACTACTGCTTAGTGAAAAAAAAAACACAATCGATCCGAGGAGTCTCTGTAGTCTCTCCTGTTCTCAGGAGGCCAGGGACTTTGTGGATCATCTCTTGGTGCTGGACCCTTCCAAGCGCTTGACCGCGGAAGAGGCCCTGTGCCATCCCTGGATCTTGTCGGCGAAGAACTTGGCGGAGAAGGCGTTTTTTTTGGCGGGGTGGAGACGCCGAGTGAGAGGTCGTGGCCAAGTGGGGAAGAGATCAAGAGATTTTAGCACTGTGCTAGATGACAGACTCTCTACAACCGACATGTATCGAGTCTTGTTTGGTATTTTTTCAAGTCTCAAAGAAGATTGAAACCACCAGACCACCAGAACAGCCACCGGACCAAGACATTCCGAATCTGTGCGCATCACAGCTTGTGAGCTGTGATCTCGGTTCAGACGATGGATTATACTGCCCATCCCACCCCTTCCTGAATTGGAGCTCTCAAATCCTGCAGCATTGGTACGATGTATCTGCTGGTTGCAGTACCCTTTTCCTAAAACTCCAGGGTTCTAGATCAAAGAGGGTTCCCGACGTCCAAGTGTGGAGGCTCCAAATCACCTAAGATACTTGTAGCCCTTCCAAACTGCTTTGAACACTAGTGCACACCTTTCTACGCCTCTCTGCCTCGCAAGGTGTGCGGTACTTCGGTGGTCACCGGCTTCCGCAACATCGCCCGCGCCACGCGCTTTCAGAGGCCGGAGCCACGCGCTTTCTTCGGCGTCTCGGGTCGCTTGAGCTTGGCCATTGGCGTGCCAAGCGTGCGTGCGTCTGACGGTACTGACGTGCCGGACCGGTGGACTGCTGAGAGGCCCACCTTTTTGGCGAGCCAGGTGAGAAGCCCCACACGGACTCTGACCTGAAAGGGTGACCCGAAAGGGTCCGATTCCTGCGTTAAGATGGGTCCAGACATGTTGGTTTTTAGCAGACCATTTGGGCCCAGGGCAGTGCGATATGGGGTGCTAGGACTAAGGGTCGCCAGGTGAACACCGCATGAAGCCCCAAGGTCCCAAGACCAACCCAGACGTTCATGGACCCTGACATGGAGGAATCAGACCCTCATATGGATCATACGGATTGGGGTCTCAAATTGCTAGGCTTTGAGGGACCCAGGGACCCAGGGGTTTCAAGGGCTAGCGGGTCTGGCAATCTCCGGCCATGAATTTGGTGAACACTTGAACCACAGCATCTTGAAGACGTGTTCTATCTGGGCACGAGCACCAAGGGGTTCAGAGAGCCACAGCACTCGCACCCGCCCCAGCCAGGGCCTGCTTGAAAGCGATGGCCTGGTCTCTGAGTCTCTCCGAGCGAAGGAGACTGCGAGGAGCCTGGAGCCTCAGACCGCTCCGACTGTCCGATGCGGACTTGCTGATCCATGCTGAAACGCCCGATGCTTCCGTAGCACGTTGGGCGGAAAACCGAGGAACGTCGTGGTGTTAAAGCCGAGGTCTTCATTGACCTCAGCGCTGGAAAGGATGGCAAGGATGGCCGAGGCGTCATTGAGAAGAGCCAGTTGGAGGTGCACTGGTGGCGTCATCAGCTTCTTTGGGCAATGATAGGAGCATTGTGAGCATCACACAAAAGAGTTGAATGTGGCATATCAAAAGGGAGTGTCTGAGTGTCTGATCAAAGTGTCAAACGATTTCCAGTCCTTATCAAAAAGGCTTCATATATTGTTCAATGCCAAAGCTTATATATATATATATATCTCCTCGCCACAAAGCGTGGGACCGCAGCCTCGTGTTCAAAGCACCAACTCCTGGTCAGGGATCCAGACGTTCTTCATTAAGGATTCCCAAATTAGTCTCTCTTAGACGCTTTTCACCACCAAGAAGAGGCTTTTTTGAACATCCATTTCTAGGTCGAATTTCTCAATTGCAGGCGTACTTGAGCGCCCGGATTCCCAAAGAGCACGAGGAGGAGAGCCGTGGGCGAGAGGGGCATCTTCAGTCATGACCGCCAAGTCATCCTGTTTGAAGGCTTCACGGGCAATAGGAGAGCGCTTGAAGGCTTCACTTGCTTCCGACGAAGCAGACAACTCTGCAGTGGAAATCGGCCGGAAAAGGTCGGTGTGGTCGATGTTTTTCATGCAGAATTGATCAGAAGTTTGCATAGTTGGAAGATCTAGGTATGGTTTTTTTTCCTCCCAAATTCATCCAGTTTCTTCCCTCAAGTGTAGCCATCGAGACTAGGATTCTTCCGACTTCCGCTGATCCAGGTCTCAATAAACAGGATTCAAAGAGGGGCGCTTTTCTAAACGGGGCCAGCTCTATTCTGCTGTCGGAGGTTCTATAGTATTCTTTCATTTCTGATCTAAATCTAACATGACCTACTTGAGGATATTCTCTTTTCATCTCTTTTCCCTCCGATTATTGTTACTGCCTGAGGCTGAGGCATGTTCATTCTCCATCATCCACTCACAAGTCCACTCCCGGTGTGTGAGGACTTGACGCTGATCTCCAACATCTTGCCAGAGGACTGGTCCACAGGAACAGCGAGGTGAGAGGACTCGTCGTCAGGGTTACCAAATACGAAAAGAGGTCGAAGTGTAAAGAGGTTGCTTAAATGTGTTTCCTTTAGTGAAGTGTTCAGGCAACTTTCCCTGAGCACCGTTCTCTTTTTTTTAAAGCAAGTCTTTGTGACTGGGGTCCGGGTGCTTCTTTTGTGTGGGTTGCGTTCTGAAAGCACCTCCATTGGACCCATTGGGCACCCCAGGAGATTCACTACACCGAGTTCTTAGCCGCCATGATGGCCTGCGAGCTGGACGATCACGAGGACAGAACGATCTCGTGAGATGCAGGGAGTGAACACTGCAGGGAGTGAACTGCAGTTGGCGGATTCTGGGCCCTTAGAGATACCTATTTATTTACCTTAGAATTCCAAGAACCATTCAATTTAATAAGCCTGAATCACCATAGACTCATCTTCTTGTCCCAATCATAACCTCACCCAACGGAAAAGCCGGTGCTGTGGTGGATTCTGGGCCAACCTCGGGGAGCGGATTCCGTGACGAGTCGAAAAGCTTGGAGACCTGGGAGATCAAGTGGGAGATGAGGCACTCAATGAGCTTGTAGAGTACAAGGACTTTGCAGAGACCCTCGGTTCGACCCCCTCGGTTCACTCGGTTCACGGCCGGGGCGCATAAACCGGGCGGTGCGGAGGTCGACCCGAGCTCGGACGAGGTCGCGGTGTTTTTCCTTCCCAGGACATCGTGCGGTGTGCCTTTCGTCACTTCGACAAAGAGGGCTCCGGGTACGTGACTCCCGAAGTCTTGAGTGAGGCGCACATCGCCGGTGCGGTGGGCGGATCACATCAGGGCGGCTTTTTCTGGGAAGGAAGGAAACGGTGTTGTGCGTGCGTGCAAGAGGACTGAACGATTGGATGTGTTTGCGATATGTTGATTCAATTAGTTGCTGACATTGCTGCTTTGCATTAGTGGATCTCTCGAACGTCCGGGACCATGGACTATGACCCGAAACAAAAGAGGTACGGCCCCAGACACTCCATAGGACTGGCACCGATCGATGTGCGTAAAGAAAGGGGTCAATGTAGGCATTTGATCCCATACCAGCACCCTCCTGGCCAGGCTGTTAGTTGAGGGTTGCTGGACCCTAACAGGTCTCAATTGGTGACCTGTAGAGTCGGGTGCTGGTACTTGGAGTGTATTTGGATGATTAATCGAGGGTCCAGGAAGAATCCGTTGATCATCGTTTCCGGAATCCAGCCCATATGGACAGATGTCCGACGACGAGTCAGCCAATGATGTCAAGCAAAAAGGACTTGTGTATATACCAGGACCCTCGGACAGGTCACCAATTGAGACCTGTTAGGGTCCAACAACCCTCAACTAACAGCCTGGCCAGGAGGGTGCTGGTATATAGATTTTGTATCACAAAGAGTGGATCACCAAATTGATGAAGTATGTCTAGTAGTGCCCATGTTCAAGGAGATGCTGCTCTAGTCGGTGGCCTTCTTAAGCTAGAAGAGGAAGCTGAGGAAGCAACAAAGCAACATATCCAACTACATCAACTGGTATCGATGGATATGCATACCGGCAACATCCTCTTCTTTGTGTGCATTGTGCATCACAATAGTTACCATGCACCAAATAGATGGTGGAGGGTCAATCCCCTTTAAGCAAGTCTCGGACTCTCTCTCGTCACCTCGTCGAGAGAGGACGATGAACAACACCCGAGGTTCAGGTCGTTTCGTCTGTGGCTGACACCAACGTGGGATCCATCACACTTTTGTGATCCAGCCTCTTCGACCAGCGTAGCCCGCGTAGCCCCAGACCGACCAGGTGCTCGGGAAGGACATGGATGTCTCGGAGATCTTCAAAGAGGCAGACTTGGACAAGGAGAAGGGATCTTTGTGTCGGACCTGTTTCAAAAGAGACGCACTGGGCTGCTTTTGTGGAAATCAACGGCGTCGACACCGTGTTGAAGCAAGAGATCTGTCATCTCAAAGATTGGGGTGCATGGCATGTCCCTTCTAATTCTCCAGTCTCCAGTGCCATATTTTGTTTGCAAGGCCTGTTTGGGTATCTTCCATCAACAATGAGCATTGCTCTACTAGAAATAGCGACCCATATTGTATCCTGGCATTCCAACCATCACTGTTTTATGAGTTTTTACTATTTACTGAACAGCAACTGTTTTACTAAGGATTTTACACCACGAAACTAGCTCAACCATATTGAAATAGTCTTGGAGGGCCAGGGCATACGGTAGGGATGTGCATTCTTTGGGAACTTCCACTATTGAGGATACATAAAGTTCATTAAGTAAGCACAAGTCGTAAGTAGAGAACAATTCCTTTTCGGAGCACCTTATATAAGTAGCATTTTAAGAACCGTCTTGGACTTTCCGGGGTGTGTTAGTCCATCGTTAGTCCTTTTTGGTTGTGCTGCCATGCGCTGGTATTTGGCGCAAATACTTCGGTAAAGGACCCGGCCAGTTGGCCAGTTGGGTCGTTCCTTGTCGGTGCAACGCGTCCCGTGACGGGTGGAGGGCGCCTTTCAGGAGCCGGTTTTTGTTCTGCGCGTTTGAGGCACCGCTTTTGACACGGTGGGTTGGGGATGCAGGACGGGCAGATCTGCGCTTTTGTAACGCGCAGGACGGGCAGATCTCGATTGATGACTTCGTGGCTGAGCGGCAATGACTTCAAGCACTCTGAAAGAGGGTCTGCGAGGACGCGTTTAAAGTTTTTTCCAAGCAATACTCTCAGGTTGAGACGAGCTAGACTGGGAGAGCTGGCTTTTTTGGGTCGTTCCAAAACGTGAGTATCAGCCCTACCCTTGAGGGCTCCAGAGGGTCAACGGCACGACATTCACTGTATGGAAAGCGAGAGGTCAGCGCTGTGAAGTTGTGAAGCAGGTCTGACAGCCTACCCTTCCACCATGATTGTTGATATGAGTCGACTGAGTCTACCGAATCTTCCTTGTTGGGGGAGAAGCCAAGTCGATCTTGATATTCACTTAAGCTCCCGAACTTATGGCCCGGTATCCCAACCACTTGATGGCAATCCACCGTCAGGTCGAATATCTGGGGCAGATCACGGATCTGCCTCCGGTGGACACTGTGCCTAGTACCGCACCTTGGTTCGAGGAGTGAGAAGTGAGGGTAGTGAAACACCTGGAGCTGCATTCGCAACTGGCATTTGCCATAAGTAGAAGCTCGGGAGAACACATCTACCAGCACCCTCACTGCCAGATCACCAATTGTTCGACCTGTACTCGGGCCCAACACCCAACCCTCGACAGACTCAGACTCGGCTTCCTGGCCAACCATTGTTTTAATGGTCTGGCTCCCAAAGAACCGTTGTACTATAAAGGATTTGGCTCTACAACACCAGGTCAACCATGTTTAAGATGGTCTTGGCAGGCTTGCTTCGCTCTTTCGGGTTCTCTCAATCCGTCCGACGGACACCCCGTCCGACGCCCAAGGCCACGAACGAGCCCCAAAAGCTCTCGAAAGCCGAGCAGTTCCGTCAAGCCATGAAATCCTGGCTGCGGATGCCGCGAGCGCTTCGCGATCGACATTGAAGATGCCATGCTTAGGGTTTTGCCAGCTAATGTGCTGCGGTGGGTGCAAACGGGGCAATCTCAAACCCCCAAAAGTCATTGAACACTATAGGCATAGGTGTTTGTTTGAAAGGAGCTCTACCATACCTAAGTATCGGTTTTGTTGGGTTCCATTTTTGATTTTTGATAGGTCCTTCTGACCTTCTTCCTGCCGTTTCAACTCACCGGAGCAACATGTTATTTAAGACTTCCCCTTCCTGAGCCTGTACAGAGAGCGTGATGTAGCTCAGAGAGCGTGATTTCTCTGCGGAGCCCTTCTGTACAGAGAGTGCCAACCCTTGTACTCGTATCTCCAAGTGTCACCAAAAAGCTGCAGGAGCTGGGCTTCGATCCTTTAAGCTGCCAGGCTTCGATCCATTTGGTGGAATTTTGCTATATATCTACCAGGACCATTGGACCATCGGGGTGTCCTGGCTGGACTACCCCACTCTACCGGCCTAGGCTTCTAGACAGGGCACCCCGACAGGATGGTCCAGGTATGTGCTCTATTTTTTTGATTTCTGTTTGGGGGGGCTCACCTTTAGGACCTTTGGACCTGCCAGAAAGGCTTTCTGATTTGCAGGGATTTCCTGACAGAAACATCCAACGAAAGATCGTGTACACTGGTTCATGGAGGTCCCTTCACCCGATTCCTTCATATTCTTTCCACAGTCCCCGTCGCCGAACTGACAACAAAAGCCCCAACAAAAACTCCAAGAAACCGGATGAAACCGGTGAGGTGTTCTTTTCTTCCACTGGCACATGAAAGCTAACTAAGTAGTGCAAGATTTGAACAGACTTCATCCATCCCCACGCGCGCACACACAGAGACCAACCACCCACGCACTCTGGTAGGCACTGGCGCAGCGGTGCCGAGCACAGAGAAGATTGATAAGAACCCCGCGACCTGGCAGGATTGAAGCGGGTTTAGCCTAGTCGCGGCCTAGCCTTTATTTTTTTCCGAGATCTTGACATCTCTTGACATCTTGCAGCAGTTCCATGTGGAGGTGCCGGGGTGCCACACCGGTCCTTTCGGACGGGATGCCGCATTTGCGCCTCCCATCTAGGGGTCTCAACAGCATCGCCCTCCTCTGGGACGCTCAACAGCACCTCCGCAGTCCTTCCAAAATCGGTTCGTGGATGTTCGTGGTGCTTCGAAAAGCACCGGCTGCAACAAGAACGCAGCCGCTGTCAGCGGCTGCGTTCTTTTTCCTGGTCTTCCATCATCCTGTTGGAACACATCGCGCCGTGCATCGGCCGCAGAGGTGGCCACAGTCGGATCAAGTGCCAGCATGGGTGTAAAGCCCACCGGTTGACGGCGTCCATTCGGACCGGGAGTGGGTGGAGTTCCAACTCTAGAAGGCTATATACATGGGGCGTGGTGAAGAAGAGGTTTCAAGGGTCAAACCGTCAAACCCACCATTCGGGTCAACCCTAGGATTCCAACCACCATTGATGCATACAGCAGGTTTTTGCTACCAAACAACCATTATTCTACTAAGGATTTGGCACTACAAAGCCAGGTCAACCGAACTCCTTTAAACGGTAGAACGAAAGGCGAACGGTCAAAGGATAGGGTGAAGATTCCATATCCCCGTAGCCGAAACCTACCACGTCACCACCTCCCACTTCAATCAACAAGTCTCCATTTCAGCCACCATTTCGGATACCTTGAAATCGAGATCGGGTGCTGGTCGGCACACACCGCCTTGGTTGTTCATGACCGAAGATACGGTAACGTATCTTCTCTATTCATGATGATCCAGATTGTTCTGTTTTTCTTTTTAGAAGACTGTGTTGGCGTATTATGGCGTACTAATTTGGAGCTAATGTTGGTGCTTGTGTGGTGCTTTGTTGTTGGTTGGGGCTGTGGACCTGCGCCCCAGGAGCCCGTCCTCGCTCCCAAGCCGCCGGCGGCTGGTTCCACGCCCGCCGACCGCCGTAGAGGACGGAGCAACATGCGTTCACCTGCTCGCCGGTTCGCCGTTCGACCTATGCTGGTCTTAGTAAAATCCTTATTCAATCAATGCTTCTTGGGTAAAAGCTATCAGACTTCGATATAGACTTACGGCGATATAGACTTCGATGCCTTCATGGTGGCGGAGCTTGGACGCCGTTTTTGTTTTTTTTCGGGGAAGTTCCATTGGGGTACGCCCCCCCGGCGACCGGGGTGCCGACCTGAGACGAGCCTCCTTCAACCCGCCTTCGTTGGCCGGACCGAGCCGTCGGGACCGAGCCGTGCTCACGTTGCGCGGGCCGGAGAAAGCGGACGTGGACGTGGAGCGAAGCACAAGAGCTTGACTACACTGCAACCCCCAACTGCGAGGGTTTCGCGCGAGGATCGCGCATGGTCAGGGATCGCCACTGGGAGAGTTGTTTAGTTCCATCGAATTCCGGTGATGCACACCTTGGGGATGAAGACCAGGCTCAAAAAAGACAGAACTTTTCGTCATTCTGTAGCCCTAGGATTCCAGACCACCATGAACATGTCAGACAGGCCGTATACCGAACAAGCATTGTTCTACTAAGGGACTTCACACTCCAAAACCAGGTCCACCAAGCTTAGCTGAGCAGTGATCTTCTTCTCGGCCGCTGGCGCCAGGTCGGCCAGCTGCGCCCGGTCGGCCGTTTCTCCGGCCGGGCGTCCAACCGCAGTTGTGGCAGGCGACGTTGGGCCAAGAGAGTGCCCCGTTTGGCCAGGGCGTTGGGAGCAGAATCGGTCGACTGGATGGTCGACTGGTGGAAGGAAGTCGTCGCTTCGCTTTAGCCTTCCACGAGATCTTCTACGGTGGGGAGTCCCAGTATATCGGAGAGATGGGGCCATTGCAGGAGTTTTGGGCCTTCTTTGATGCAACGGGTATCCCAAGTGGTTCAACTTCCCAGGTATCCCAGCACTTCCCAGTACTTCCCGTGGTTCAACAGTATCGCCCGCTAGATGGGTGGGGGTTCTTGCCTGGATGGCCCACTTGCTCCGGTTTGCTCCGGCCGTTTGCTCCGCTGGCTTCCGGAGGCCAGCAGTCCCAACGCGAGTCTGGCCTCGCCGCGACCGTTGGGGGAACACAGCCGAAAGTCTTTTGGAAGAGGTTAAGGGGTTAGGGGTTAGAAGTTATTAGAGGTTAAGGGTTAAGGGTTAAGGTTAATCATGGTTAGAGGTTATTAGAGGTTAAGGATTAAAGGTTAAGGTTTATCATTCAGTGGTTGTTCGACGTGGTGGTTTCTCATGGAGCGTGCGGGCGTACCGACTTCTGCACCTGCACCCCGAGGGCCACTGTTTCAGGTTGCATTGCACGAACAGGTGCATTGCCGTTTTGACAGAGAAGGGGTGGCTAATGGTTTTTTGGCCCCGTCCCAAAAACACGACGAGTGGAACAACTGTAGACTATAGATGTGCACCCAAGCTGTAATAGGGCAAAAGACCAGTGGACTTCTGCTCTCGGTCCTTCTCATCTTCACCTCATCAAGCCAGTGACGTTCGCTTCCACATGTCGGGCTGCGCACAGGGTTGGGTCGCAACAGATCCACCCAAGAGCACAGCAAAACAGATTTGCTTTACTAAATCTGAGCCGGATAGTCCGGTGATGACTCATTTTACATTAGCGGATTATGACTGCCAGTCAAAATGAGTCATTGGAAGTTCTGGGATATGTACACACTTAGATCAGGTTTCATCCAGTGCCAGAATCCACAGTGAAAAGAATGCTGCAACCGCACGATCGCTGGGTCAGCTGATTTGTAGATGTTTGAACAACATGGTTTCACTCAAGACAGCGGTGGGGCTCAGAACGGTGAGGCTGCTGGGGCAATTGGTTTTTGGGGTTACCGTGAGAACAGCTATGGCAGCAAAACACAGCGGTGAAGAGTGGAGTGTTGGGACAACGGCAGGTACGTGAGTCAAGCGTCCTCGACTCATATCAGAGGAAATTCATGGTGCCTTCGTTGGATGCCGACCATGGAAATCCCCGGCATCCCCCTGCATGCTTGAAAGTAAAAAGGAAAACTCCTAGAAACGGAGGGGGACACACACACACACACACACACACACTTATGATTTTGCATACTGACTGGACAGCGGTGCCACACGCCAGCCTAAGAAACCAAATCCTGAAAAACCAGGTGAGGGGGCCTGAGCGCCTTTAGTTAAAGGCCAGAAGTCAAACTCCACGACGCGACGAGCCGATGGGATGACGGCGTACCGTGCATGACTGCCAAGTGTATTAGCCCTTTGCAGAAACTTAAAAGTCAGAATGCAGGTACAAGAGTTGGCGTCCCAACTCTCTTCCATCTGATTTCCGTAGCTTCGTTGGCACGGATGGGAAATCAGTCTCCGTGCCCCCTGCTGAAAAACAATTCAATTCAAAAGAATCCCTGTGACTACAAGGGGCACTCACACACACACACACGCCTCCCCGAGGGGAGGCGAAAGCTAAGGTTAAGACGTGTGTGCACAGTTGCACACAACCAAGGACAATTAGATGAAGACATGAAAAGAGGACAAGACAGGACAACAATGTATGTGGTTGCGATGAAGAGGGAACCAGATGCACAGGGACAAACAGTGAGCCAAACCTCATTATCAGAACCTGGGCGACCTGAAACCTAAGTGTACAGTGGATGTGCGGGAACAAACTAAGGCCCGGACCTTTGTGCGCGCAAGAGAGAGACAGGAATGAGATGACAGGACATGAAGCGAGGGAAGACGTGAAAAGAAAGAGGAAAAGAAGTGTGTGAAGGGGGAAAGGATGAAAAAAAGGGGGGAACCAAATGAAAGGGACGGGATCCGATGAAACCAAACCTCATTACAACGACCTAGGAAGACCTGCCTCGTTAAAGTGTATACGCTGTGTGTGCACCTGAGATGGCGACAGGTTCCAATGAACCTCAAAATGACTTTGACCGCTGTGGTCACCTTGTGCCCTGCCAAAGTGGCTGGCTGCTTAGGTCACGTAAAGGCATGAGCCAGCTTGGAGTTCAAAAATGAGACAAAGGTTGTAAATCTCTCGGCCTAGGCCACCTACGCCCGCACTGGGCACGTACATCTCCGGGCAGGGGAGA